ACAAAGGTTTGCAAGATTTCAGCTTATGAGTGCTGGTCATTGTTTGCAGCATTCTTTTTTGGATAATAAATATGCAAGTGCTTTCAGGGGCATTACCCCAGACTATTATTCCATATTTTAGGTATGAGTGCACATTTGCAAAATACATTGTTCAAAGTGTCACAATATTCGGAGCTTGATCTGAGGGTGTATAGGGCATAGCAAATTCTTGTGAGCTTCTTGTTAAGATATGAGATGTGAGCATTCCATTTTAAGTTTTCTTGAATTGTTAGATCGAAGAAGGTTGTTTCATGAGATATCGTTTCAGGGTTATTATTAATGAGCAAATACTGTGAGAGTTTTTCTTTAGATCAGGGATTCATGAAATTTAGAGAGACTGTCTGCTGTTGTTTATGATGAGTTTGTTGCCTTGAAACCATTTTACAGGTGCTTGCAAAGTTTTGTGAGTTTCTTTTTCGGATTGTAGTGTTTTTGCTTTGATGATTATGTTCGTGTCATCTGCAAACAAAATTACAAAGCCAAAGGCATGTCATTAATGGATCCTTGCGGGACTCTACAATTTATCATCTGAGGTCAGGAGTAGTATGAGTTTTTTTTTTTTTTTTTTTTTTTTTTTTGAGTGTGCTGGAGGGCAACTATTTGGCTACGGTTTGTTAAATATGAGTTGATCCATTGGCCTGCAAATACCTCGAATCCCCATGTTTACCATTAAGTATGGTTACGTTTGGTAATTGCAAGAGATGACATTCGATGGGACACACCAACAAGAGATTCGAAATTAAATTATGTGATTTCCACAGTAAATTGACGCTTACTTCACGATATCCGCACAACGAGTGTACTCGTAACCACTAATTATTACTAATTGTACATATTTCTAATATGTAGCCAGTTGTAGCTCTACTCGTATACAAGATCGCTATTCTTATACAAGAGCGTGAACTCGGCTACAAACCAAACTTTGCCTCATTTCTCATAACTCAGCATTAATTCAACATGATATATAAATTTCCCTTTTATCATAACACTCACCACTGTTCCTTTAAATAAAACATACGTGTTTCCGGATGTCGTTGTGTGTCTCACATACGCATTACTTCATGTTAGGTGATGTACGTAAAGAAATTAATGTGTGTTTGAAATGAATGTGTAAACGACGTGTGTAGCCCGCAGGATATTTTAACAGCCCTTAAATTGTAAGAATGTATAATGAAATGTGTGCAACGTTGAAATTTACATAGTGTTAGGCAAGTGTCTCAGCAGAGAAGAAGCGGATGTATAATGCTTCTATACAGAGAGTAAAAGTGTTCATGTTGTGTTCTTTATGAGTATAAAAGGTTTCAAACTAAATAAACAAGTGCACCACGGCCGACTCAACACAATACAATCTCTACACACAGTCTACTAGAATTTTGAAATACACCGGGACTTGGGGGTAATAATTTTACTGACGTGAATTTCATAACAAAAATATTATTATTAATTCGTTTGGACGTCCGGACACATTATTATTTTCATAGGGAAGGGAACGCACTCTGCTTTCTTAATTTTATAATCAATATTCTATTCAGACAAGGTTCAAAATGCAGTTTAACGATATTACCCCTACAAAAACATAGAAAAAGATAACTTTTTTAAAACACTGATCTTACTGGAAAAATATCACTGCCTGAAAAGAAAAAAAATATTGAAAACAAAACATAGATGTTAACCGATTATAACTGATTTAAATCATGATTTATTTTCCACTACCCGGTGCCTGAACACTCATCCACAGGACCTCGGTGGCGCCTGCCTACACCTTTTCAACCATTGTATCTTCCTCGACCTCCCATAACTCAAGTGCCTGCATATTCTTTGCAGAATTTATATTTCCTCCCTATATAAATTCATATATACATAAGTGACCCCGATGAAATCAGAAAATGAATTATTTCTGTGCTAACTCACTTCCTGTAGGTCCTGAGTATCTCAAAAACATACACTTTTCAAAAAATAATGGATATTTTCAATCTCTTGTAATAATGATATTGAAAATATCTGAAACACAAGTCCCCATTATTCATATCCACATGTTGGCAGATTTGGAAGTTAATAAAACAAAGGATCTAGATTTCCAATGCAAATTGCATTTGCAAGTACAGGCAAATCTCAAAACTTAGTGAACCAAAAGAACTAAAAAGTTATACATGTTTCTCAAGAAAATAGGCAAAATTGTTTAGTGTAGCCAACACTTAAAACCTTCTTTTAATATAAGTTATTTGTATTACATCTCCAATAATGAAATAATTAACATACCTAACATCCAATCTCCTCTCATGACCTCCAAATCTTGAGGCAAAGGAGTTGGAGGTACTATGTGATGTCTAAAGAGATGGTAGATTTATTGCAATTATTTTAACATTTTATGCACTCCAAATTTCTTGCAGTATTGGAATTTTATGCAATACAATGTAAATCATTATTTGTATATAAAGTCATTTGATGTGAATTTTGGAATTTCAAATCAATTTATGTTCCTTTCATGCTCTTGGTGGTATTTTTAATCAAAGCTTTCCCCATTTAATAATTTTCCATATCATTTGGAATTGGACCTATTAAAATGGATTTTACTTACCATTATAATTATTTTAAGAAGTCATTGCAATTGTTTGAGTGCATTATAAAAATTAATTACGAATTTCAAAAGAATTTACTTTGAGAATATTAATGCTTACTGTAGTTTTAATTAGAGCGTTTCACTTATATGCTCACCTTTTACTGATATGGTACAAAATAGATTTTTAAGTAATACAAAACTTGGAAAAGTATGTGTTATTAGATCTTTCTAGTCTTAAAGACAGTAGGCTTATATTACATTCATCCTCCATTATTATTTATTGATCAATAATAATGATAGTAGACAGCTTCTTTATTAATTAGGTCAATTCTGGAAGTTTCTTGAAGTGCTGACCAATATATATTATAATTGGATGCAAATAGGATTTTGAAATATATGTATTGAAAAAGTGGAATTTTTTCTAAATATCAACATGTATCCTGCTGTTCCACTAGATTTTTCTTTGTTTCTGTCAAAGAACTTGGATTTTTAAAACCTGTTTTAATTCCACACAGACTTGCAAAGAATCAATATCAATATTGACAATAAATAATAATGGAGGATGATGTAATAGAAGCCTACTGTCTTTAAGACTAGAAAATCTAATAACACATTACTTTTCCCAAGTTTTGTTATATACTTAAAAATCAGTGTTATTTGTACCTGATCAGTAAATGTTGAGCATTTATAGTATGTTGAATACGCCTAATTTTATAAAACTACAGTAAGCAGTATATCTCAAAGATAAATTCTGTTTTAAATTCGTAATTTAATTTTGTTTTAGTAATTGCACGTCAAACAATTGCGAAGACTTCTTAAGAATATTATTGTAATGTAAGTGGTAAAATCCATTTAAGTAAGTGTTTCCAAATTCCAAATGATTATGGAAAATTGTTTAAATGGGGAGATAGCTGTTGATTTATGTAAAGATAC